TACAGTGGGAGTCAAAAGCATAGGCTAGAGAGGGATGTTGGCCATAAAGAGAGTGTGAGTGATTTGATACTGGTCTTGTCAGGAAATAGCCTTATAGTCCCTCCGATTGTTCCTCTAAGACACCAAAAACATGGCATCACAAATCACCCTCTTGACCCCAATCCCAGGGCGCTGAGGCCATCACTTTTCACAATCTACTGCACATAGTTCCTTGAGCAACACTTCTCTCAAACAGCTTCATTCCCAGAGGCACAACTTCAAAGGTAATTCAAATATATCTTGGCATGGTTAAATTTTTCCTAATCACCATCTTTTCCAAAAATATAGGTCACCACCTCCATAATCTAGTTCTCTCTTACTCTCTTTCCCTTCTTCCTTACCCATGCCAGTGGAGATTTACAAGACTGGGTAACACTGATGAATGCTACCTCATTCCCATCAACCAGTGTGTCAATCCTAACAAAAGGCAGGTGGTTAGTTAAATGGCACCTAAGTTCTTAACCTAGAATGTAGCACCCACACACCTCTCTTTCCAGGAAAGTACCCTAAAATTCACCTTTTTGTATCATCCATGCAGTATCCAGAAATGGATACTTTCTTCATTCACTCTTATGTCAATGTGAGGGTGTTGTGGCCATGAATTCACATTCCCTGTCCAAAACCTCTCTCAAACCTGCACGTCCACAACCCCAGCCCCACACTCATCTCCTGGCCGTTTACTTATTACTCAACATGTGTGGTCCAGAGGATGGTTGCCAAATTGAATCAGAATCAAGTACTGCCCAGACTCTGATAGTCCTCACGCACAGAGGCAGCCTTGAGTCATGCTAGGTAGGCCTCTCTCCATGATTGTTTTTTTCCCCTTCAGCCTCAACTATTAAGAATCAAATCTCAGATATCCATAGTCCACCTCCTGTTATGCTGCACTTGATGTCCTTTCACTAGTCACAGCCAACATCCCTCACTTAACTTTCACTCAAATCCCAGCCCCGAAGGCGCACAGATAATGAGTCAAGCTCTTAGCTAATCCACAAGACTGACTGAAACTCTCAACAGCCAGGCCACACCAAGGGTCACAACAAAATCCTGGTGAGAGTTTAGAAAAGGTGGTATGTACCAGCCCTAGTTTCATCTATTTTGTTATTGTTTGAATTACTGTCTGGCCTCTAATTAATCTCAGGTCCACTCATCTTTTAAAGGTATTAGCCACTGCAAAACAATTATCTCTCTCCCACACTCTATATGACGACTTCTGTCCCTATGCTATGTTGTGACACCCACCTCCAACAAACAGTCGCCCCCGCAAGAAAGAAATTCCTCAGGCCCTAACTGGTTTGGCTCAGTGTACAGAGTGTCGACCTGCAGACTGAAGGGTCCCAGGTTCGATTCCAGTCAAGGGCATGTACCTTGGTACTCTCTATCTCTCTCCCTTCCTCTCTGTAAAAAATCAATGAAATATATTTAAAAAAATAAAAAAAGCCAATCTTCAGGCTTACACTGACCCTTCTGTACCACTACTACCATTACCATCCTGACCATGATTCCCTATAATAAAGTGATCTACAGTCGCAACTCAAAAGCAAAAAATCGGCCGAGAGACAGCTCATATCTCAAAAAACTCATTAGTCGGGACACTCGTAAGTCAAGGCCCCACTGTATATACATATATGCATAGGCCATGGACATATACAGTAATGTGGTGAGAAAAGAGGGGAGGAGTATGGAAGAAATTGGTAACATATATAATAGAGTCAGCAATAAAAAACAATAGTGTGCACAGCTGGTGGGGCTCAGTGGTTGGTTGTGTACCCATCAACCAACATACTGCTGGTTTGATTCCAGGTCAAGGCACATACCCAGGTTGGGGGCTCCATCCCAGTAGGGGGAATGCTGGAGGCAGCTATTCAATGATTCTCTCTCATCATTGATGTTTCTTCCTCTCCCTTTTTCTCTAAAAAATCAATAAAAGACATTCAAAAAATGAAGTGTTAAGATTGATTTGACTCAAATACAACAAAGTGATTGTGGGCCATCACATTTTCTTCCAAGTCTTGTAAGCAAAATCATGTCTTGTTCTGTCTTTATACAGGATGTCACAGACATAACTTGTAGGGAACAGGAACCAGCCTGGAGCTGGTCTGCCTCAGCTGGGCCTATAGTGTTTGTGTTCCTGACTTCATGCAGAAAAAATTTCACAACAGGAGTTCAGAGATTTTGAGGGAACATTTACTAAAGATAGGGATAATGAAAAAAATCTAGAGCTTAGAATAGAACAAGGAACAGCAGAGAGACTAGGAGGGACTCCTATGGCTCTCTAGAAACACCACTGTGAGCTCACTGGAGAATCAAAGAAAAGGAGGCCTTGAACACAGGTTCAGGGGGTTAGCCCAGGATGAGCTGTTGCTGCTCACTGCTGCCTCAGTTGCAGGTCGAACAGGATCCCTTAGGTTAGGAGAGCCTGGCTGGTGTGATTCAGTGGTTGAGCATTGACCTACGAATCTGGAGGTCACAGTTGCATTCCCAGTCAGGACACATGCTCAAGTGATGGGTTAAATCCCCATTGTGAGGCATGCGGGAGGCAGCCTATCAGTGATTCTCTCTCATCATTGATGTTTCTATCCCTCACTCCCCCCTTCCTCTCAGAAATCAATAAAAATATTATTTTGCATATATGTTTTAAATCAATTATACTTACATCAAAGTTTAAAAAATAATTAAAACTTGCCACTTCCCACAACTTACATCAAAGTTTAAAAAATAATTAAAACTTGCCACTTCCCAATTATTTTACTATTTTGTTATGAAAGTTCTTGAGCATATCTGTACCTACTGCATCAATATGTTGGAAATAAAATATAGTGATTTACTACTGAAATATCTCATCAGTCCATATTCAGTGCTATCACTTTGGAGGTTTGAAAGTGACGATGATGAGAGTATTTACACCAGAAAAATTGACAAATACTACAAACCTTGACTTCACTTAATATACTATTGAATTCTTCAACTTAAACTGAATGTTGGCAATGTTGTTAATCTTGTAAGTGTATCATGCAAGTGGGCTTTAAATTGTAACTAGTATACAATTTTAGAAAAACAACTTTCCTCCCAATATTCAAAACATATAGTTCCAAATGGCAAAGAAGTTGAGTCCTTGAGGAATGAGTGAGTTACAAACAGATGTCTTACATGGTGAAATGACTTCCTATTGCTTAAATCATAAATTCATTTTAAAAATTGGCAGAAGTTTCTGATCAGACTTTTCAACAAAGGAGATAAAGACAGGGTCTATAAATACATAAAGAAATGCTCACCATAAAAATTTCTTAGGGAAATGGAATTAAAACAAAACAAGTTAACACTACTGATTTTCAGGCCTACAATTAAAAATATTAAACATCGCATGTGCCCACAAGGATAACGAAAAACTAGAATTTTCATTATTGTGGATGGCTGGGAAGGGAAAAGGAGGACCATTTTAGATCACAGTTCTGCATATCTTAAGACACTCACCTATACTGCAACAGTTAGATAAGGAAAACATATGTTTGTATAAAGAACTTAACCCAATAATCCCAGAAAATTTATTTATAATACCTCAAACCTGGAAATAACAAAAAACCATAGTCAGATCAATAGATAAAGTAGTTATTCACAGAACACAATACTACTCAGCAATAAAAAATAATAAACTTTTCACATAAGCATTAGTGTTGAACCTCAAATTAACTGTGTAGCATGAAAGAATCCCATACTTGTTAAAGAATACACACATTATAGTGCTTATTACATTATGAAAAATATGAACTAATCTTGTAAAGGAAGGAAAATCAATGACTGCATTTAGAGTTGGGGAAGGCAGAAAGATTATAAATGTCAGGAGGCAAATATAGGGTGTGGTAAAGGAGGTTTAGA